GTCTCATAAATTGATCCGAAAGCAAACTATTTCTTTCAATTTTATTTTCATTCAAATTTCATTATTTATATAATATAATTTAATTAATATAATTTATATATATATATAATATATAATAATATATAATATATATATATAATATATAATAATATAATATATATATAATATATAATAATAACACATATATATAATATAATTTATATATTTCTTCATTCAATTCGTATTATTTTCTGCCGATTCAGGCATCATGAATTTATTTCTCAAGGATTTCTGCTTCTGTTTTCATTAAATATAATCATTTTAGGGTCAATTATTTATGATCTTTTCGCATTCGTATCGCGTTTCCCCGTCACCCTAAATAGTTCAGCGCTACACCGCATAGAATCACGTGTGTCCATCAACGACGGATTACTGACAACGTCGAGTGTACAAACCGCCAGATATTTTTCCAATTTGTGGGGACATACGTCTGAAACGTCCGCCGCCAATCGCGTCCAGTAAAAAATTAACACCCATAAAGTCTGGTAAATTGCTTTATAACTAGACGACGATCGATCGGCGTGTTCTGCGAACCGATGGGATTGATCGGTGCCTCGTTTCCGGGTATCGTGCAAACATAAGTCGCATCGGACTTAAGTTATAGCCGGAAGTCGGGTATTTGAATGCGCTTGTATCCAGGCAACACGTCCAGCAAAAACAGTCGGCCGATCACTCGATACGAGCACGCCACTATGTTACGATAATCTGAATAGTGCATCTAGGAATGCCATTTTGGTAACGCAAGTCAACGTTGAAGCATACTTGTATTCTATTGATTTCAATAATTAGAGAAGTCGGAAATTGTCCAACCACTTTTTTCCTAACCGAACCCACGAAAGCTATTTTGCCATTAATAATTACAATTGATAATCGCAATTATTCGCATTGTTTCGAATAAATATTTATCTATAATTCTTTATTCGAATAATAAATTGATAAACTATGAGAAAACACTTTACATTCTATCATTTTTATTCAAATCAATTATTTTTCGTATGAATTTCTGCACGAATAAATTTGTGTTCGAATAAAATTTTATTCGGATAAATTCTTATCTAGATAAATATTTATTCGACTGAATATTTATTTGATAGTGTCGAATAAAAATTTACTCGTTAGTCTTTATATTTTAACGGACATCCGAATAAAATTTTCATCAATTCCATTAATAATGAAATATAAAAGTAGTATTTTTATAAATTTAGATATACATATGTTATTCTTATGGAAAAAATTTATTCGCAACTTTTAGTACTAGAAATTTAATTTTTGTATTAACGAAAATATTATAATATTGATTAAAATATTTGAATAGAAATCATGAAATAAGTCAGACTTAAAAATTTTAATCTGTTTCAATACTGATCAATGCTGTTCTAAACGAATCTTATTTTTATAAAAATGGTCAAAAGTGCAACATTTTTTGTCCATATTTCATAAATAGAATATAATTTTGAACTCTTCGACATTGACGTGACAGTATAATTAATTTTGTTTGGTGTAACTAGAAAGAAAAAATTAATTTCACGTCCGTCGCACGTGTTCAATGAATCTAACTGTTTTTAATTATTACATTAATAGTTCAGTACGGTACCAGAAAGTATCATAATGCATCGTAATATAAGCAGTGCCTCAAAATCGTTCACAAATTCATTAACTTCTTTCGAAATTCTAAAACCGACGACCATTAGTAGCAACAGTAAAGTTAGCTTCTCCACTTTTGTCATTCAGGCGAAATATGGTGGCAACGGCGTGATTTTATTCAAAGTCACGAATTAGATGGATCCACTCCTCGGTTCGCGTATATCGCGCCACTTATTTATGCCATATCGAAAACGTGTTGCATGCTTTAACACGCTTCGCACATGATCACCGATAGTGCCTATGGTGTGCTGTTCGAAAATGATGGGAAAATATATCAACGATGAGCTCGAACGTTAAATATTAAAAAGTGAAATTATTCAACGTAGAGCTAGACACCTTTATTCATTACCCAAATAAAATAAAGTAACCTTCATCCATTTCTTCAGCGAATTTTAGACACAATTCACTGTTTCTGAAAAAGTAACATGTTTTACGCATCACTCTATAATTCGTAGGAAGTACAAACAATTGTAAACAATTTTATTTATATTATTGTATTAATTTTCTCATTTTAACACCACTGCGTTAATTGGACAACAAGGAACAATTTAAATGCAGACAGGTGTAGACTGACAATGAATTTCAGAATTGTCAAATGTCTTTTCCCTTGCCCTCAATTCTGAATTTTGTCTCACTCGATCATTACTATGTGAACATTTTTTTCTTGCCGTAAACATTTTTTTACAATGCATACCGTATGCATAATGTCGGCGGCATCGCGTAATTAACATGTGCGTGCGCGTGATTCATTACGTTTTGTCGATGTTACAAAAGAACGACAAACGGTTCTAGATTAGAGGATGCATTAGAATGCAAATATTTTCGAAAAAACGAGCCTTTAATTACACCACTTTATGGAAACCCGAGTGTGTTATAAAAATATGTACAGAAAACCTGCCAGACCACCGATGAGATGCCGAACTAACAGGGTAAAATACTCGTTCGACGCGAGATATAGAGCGAAGGTTGGTGTATCCTGATTACAAATGCAGTTACAGGGTATGTAATACACTGTTTGAATATGCAGAGAGTCTCTCTAGAATTTGAGCACCTCCGATGTACCCTTTGTAACTATAACAGCAATATTGGAAAATGTTTAGCGACGATCTCGTCTGACTAAAAAAAACACGAGGAAAATAAGGGGTTAAAAATGATACTTGAGATTTATATATGGAGAAAGCGAGTCTTGAATCATGTTAACTGTTCCCCTTTAACTTCTTAGTCGTGGACGACGTGTACACACGTCACAAGAAATGACAATTTTACATCTTACAACAGAAATACTTCTCCTACGGTTTAGCTTAAAATGCTTGTGAAATATATTCATAAATTTCGCACATTTTAGAATAATCACGCATCCAGCGTGATCGATAAAATGCACATAAAATTGATGTTAAAAGTAGATTTTAATAGACGCAGCAAAGTGGTTAATTGCGCTCGTTTACTCGATTTTTAATCTCTTTACAGTGTCATGTTTAATTTTGCCAACAAAATGGACAAAGCCCACCGAAATGGGTTCAACCAAATTGTCCATTATATCTTCATGTCCTTTCGCATGAACAACAGAACACACAAGGTTTGGATTTCCTGAAAATGGCTGAGTTATGTCGTAGTTGGAACGGCGAAACTTAAGCGATACGAAATCCCTCGTTACTGTTACTTCGTACCAAGCAAAATGTGCGTTCCGGCATGAATTACAGTCTATAAAGCGTAACGATAACTGTAAACGTCTTTTTTGGAATCGTAAAGTTACATGGTCGAACCGGATTTGCGCGACTGCGGAGAGAATTTACAGCTGGTAACAATTAATTAAGAATCCTGGCTCGCGTCACATGAAATTTACATGGTTGCACGGTAATTTAAATTGCTGCAGCCGCTGATTTACGTAGTGTGTGTGTATATGTCACGGTACTTAATTATGCTATGCGCCATGTCTAAGGTATGCACGATCTTCGCGGATAATATTAAACATGACGTATTTGCGGTCGAGAGTAGTTCACCGCAGAAACAGATACACTGAATATGTAAAAATCGCACGAATTTTCTGTGAAACTGACGCTGATTTTAATACTCTTAAATTCAAAATTCTAGACAAAATTCTGTCGTAGATCGAGTCTCGTATGTTACCGAATTTTTATGTTCTTCAGATTTCAGATGTGTATAATTTAATTATAAATATATATACATATATATATATAATATTATTATAATATAATTATAATATAATTATATATATATTATTATTATATTATTATAATATAATTATAATATAATTATA